CAACCTTAATGATTCTATGATTCTCCATTATTTAGTTGAAGCATTTCACCTTGGCCCATAACTCTGAAGGAGCTTCAGGAGTTTGCCATCCTTTCTCAAATCGCAATCCTATCCTATTTGCACATCACATAGTTTCCTACTACCACTAGGCCTCACAAGAAGATCCCCATTTACTGCACACCTTCAGAGAGACAGTTAGCTATATATACCAGTACATATTAATAATATACCAAGAGTGGTGCTTGCTTTAAGCGCACATTAAAAATAATGTCCAAGTGCGCAGCTGGGCACTGCATCACCTGATAAGCCTTTCTGTGTTAAGGATACAGAGTTCATGTAGTATTTTAATATCAGCACTGAATTATATAGAGTGGGGTTTGTCCTCTGCACGTGCCTCCCTGGGAAACACAAGCACACCACAAAAAACAGGGTACCACATGCCTGCTGACAAGGGCATCTCTGAACCAGGATTTGAGACGTCTTCCCATCTTGTACATGGCCTGTGTTTTAGAAAAGGTCTCTCCTGGACACTATCAACATGCATTTTAACTCAAGCCCACAATGCCAGCCTCTCCCCACTTACGCAAACCTTTCAAGCAAACCCAGAGACAGGGCTTCCCTGGAGTCAAACAATATTTTTTTCAAGCAGAACTACCGGGCTTTGCCTTCATATGTGCAGTTCCCACAGGTATAACAGTGCTTCTGAAGACACTAAGGTGAACATTCATCTCAAACAGTGAAGACAACCTGGCAGTTACTACTCTGAGGGACATTCACCAAGCTAGAGGCAGTTACTACTCTGAGGGACATTCACCAAGCTAGAGATTGCTCTACAAATCAAGTTCCCATACCTATACCTGGGGTACAGCATGCAACAGAGAAAGCTATAAAGGTTACACTGAACTCCTAGTACCTAAAGACTACCTTCCATCAAGTATACTGTCCAAAAGCTGGGCTCTAAATGACCAAAACAGTCTTTAATTTCACAGCAGCTGACGAATAAGACCACACTGCTGGTGAAGAAAACAGCCCTTTCAACAGAAAGCCTCCTGCACTCCAAGGGTAGCCTCCTTTACAGTCACTTATTTGGTTTTATGGACTCTGGAAAAACTTCTATAGCTGCTGACTGCAGAAGTAGCAACAGACTGGTATTTTCTAGCGTAAGAAAACTGTACTTGCTGTGACCTGAAAGATTTCAGTCTGGGTATTTGTGAGGGAAGGAAAATAAGAACAGTCTGCCTCAGCTAGCAATAGTTTTTATTCTTGATTTTCAGAGTAAAGCTAATGAGATGCCCAAGCTGGACACTAAACGGCATAATCCTTATTTGCTATTAACTACTATTTTGTAAGTGTGGTTTCTATATCCAACCAGTTCCAAAGCACTGACACAATGCGTACATTCAGTCCATCACCAGAGAAAAACTCATAGGAAGAGTGAATCCTTTAGGGCACTAGAAAGTCAAGTCAACAGTCGAAAAATTAAGCTAAAAAGCAAGGGTTTCTTCAGCTGAAGAGGTAGTTCAGGCAGTCAAACACCACTTACCACAGGGAAAGCAGCGTTCTACTTGTTGGCTTGGAAACTGCACTTAGTGTCTTTGCCATCATCTCACAAGAGCCCTTTTAGAATGGGGCTGCCTCCAAGCCAACAGGTAGTCTAGCCGCAAGACTTAATGCTAGTCTCCCTGTGCTAAGTGGTGTTTAACTGCCTGAAGTACCTCTTCAGCTGAAGAAACCCTTGCTTTTGAGCCTAAAAAAACTTTTCCCCCCACCACATCTGTGAAAAGCACCTCTCACAACTCAGCTTGCCACTTCAGATGCCATCTTCAGTAGGTCATGGCATTTGTAGCATAAAAAGCCAGATGTCCTGGCCTAAAAGCTTTAACCACTAGCTCCATGCTCTGTTTAAGTACACACATCCCCCCCTTCCTACGGAATAAGGGTAAGTCTGAACACCTTGGGTCCAGGCTTCCAGCTACAGCCCAGGGTGTTCCAGCAATACTTGGGTGTTAACAGTCCCGTAAAGAAAATACACCTAATTTATTCTGGGATCAATACCATGACTATAAAAGCAAAGAGTATACTCAGGGAATTAGTGCAAAGTCTTGTGCAGGAATACTTCAGCCAGGCAAGACAGGAGCCATACAACTAGCCATCTGAAGCTAGGAAAATAAATCTGCAAGTAAGTGTTTCAATTCTCAGTTTGAGAAATACAAGATGACTAAGATTAAGATAGAGAAGACTACCATATTCGGACTATAGGTTCACAACGGGTTATTAGATCTCTAAAGGATTGCATACCATAGCCTTGTAATAGTTGTTCAAAGTGGAAAGTCCTCAGAAGGCATATGTCTGTTAGTACCCTATAGAGGGACTGCTAATATGTCCTGTACCATGGGCATGTAGTGAAAAGCTCTAACAGCTGAACTAGAGCCCTTGGTTTCAGTTTTCAGTGCAATTAACTCAGTAATTCTTTTCCCCATGCAATGGGATTGACTACCAATGCTCCTTAACTTCAAGGGAATAAAAACTGCATTGAAATAGCTTTTATTACTCCTCCATAAGCAGTAAGATTCTTAGAGAGATCAAGAGTCACAGAATAATATCTTTAAGCAGTTACTTGCTATACAGAATGTAACAGAACTTTACAACAGACACATCCTGTTGAGATGTATCTCTGTTCCAGAAAGGAAGCAATGTCTGTCATTTGGACATGTGGTTCTAAAAGGAGCCACCCAACCCCACCACACACAAGCGACAGAAACTGATAATGCTGCCTTTTCTGTGGAGCCAGACACTGACCCCGTACTGAAGAGCTGAGGCACAACTGATTTTCTAACCATTCAAACAGAAGATTCTAGGCAGCCACAGAAGTTGTGCTTGGAGTACCACCTGCGACTCCAATGAAGGCGCAACTCTTCACCACTTTGTGTGCACCCCAACACAACTGACCGTAGCTTGACTTCATAGCACAGCAGACAGATAATGCTACCTATGCAGTACCCTGCTATTAAACATACCTAATTTTGTTTTGATTATGAAAACATCCTCCTACTTAATGTATTATTTACTTCCCCACTTTTCGCACCACCAACCCTGCTTGCTGTTAGAAAGAACGAACTGGCTGATATATCATCCCACACAAACACAATGACAGTGTTTCCTTCCACAGGGCTCTCTTTACCTTCATTGACTCAGAGTACAAGATATATTCCCTAAGTACAGGCAGGAAGTCTTCCGTCATGTCTTCACTGAGTTCTTCCAGAGCTGTGCAGCAGTTCCCAATACAGGCAGACACCCCTTCCAGTGGCTCTGATAGCTCAACCTCCAGCCCTCCCCAGGTTGAATAAACAGGTCCATATTCTCGTAGTTCCACCAAGTACTCTGCAAAAGGCAGATGGAAAAGTAGATTAAGAGAGTAAGAGTGAGGCACAAGAATCTGCAAACATACCAAACAAGAGAAACTACACACCAAGCTTAGCAAACTGTTAACTCTCCCAGGAGTTTTGTGTTGCATTAGCATCATAATAGACAGAGCCCTGTGGCTGTACAGGTGACAAGTCCAGTTTGCCTCCTGCTTAACTGACCATTCTACAAGCTTCCAATACAAAGAAACTTGCATTTCTGCAGTAGCCACAGTCTTTCTTGTAAAAACATATGTAAAAATTAGCTCTGCTAAGACAGGTCTGTACAGGTTAATCATCATCTAGGATGTCCATCTGTACTCCTCCAAACTGAATCTACAGGCTTTTCCCCCTCCCAAAAGTCCTTCCAAAAATAAGTCTAGTAAGAAAGTAGGTTGGAATAACAACAAGAGCAATTTTTTAAAAATATTTGGAGAGTTGAGCTAGGATAAGATACTGTGTTAGGCTTTGGGCATGTTTTAAGTCTGCAAGAGGCATTCAATTTTGCTCTGCGTCTGTCTCATTACAAGCCAGAATCATTGACACAAGTGTCTTGGTCATGCCATCAACCAGAACAAGATACAGAGCACTCACACTGAGGTATTACCACAGAGCACCTTGTGTCCTTACCCAACTGTTCCTTGATAATCCGCTGTGCTATTCTGTCAATGGTACCAAGCTTTAGTGAGAATGTGTCTAGATACTCTCCAATGGCAGCAAACTCCAGTGGCCGACTTCTTAATTTGTAGCCTCCTGTAACATATTTGACAGACTCCCCCACCTTTGACAGCAATGCCATTCCTTGCTTTTTGTACACATTAAGATCCTATGAAGTTAAAAAAAAAAACACAACTCAGTTGAGAAACATTTCACTTGCATGTTATAAGAGTAATGCAGTAAAGGATACTTTCCAGACGAGACCAAACTTGTGAAGGCAAGAGACTACATGTGACATGCAGCCTCAGAAAAAAAAAATCTCACTTTGTATAAATTGTACAGCTGAGCACAGTTTCAGGAGTACCTCTAGACAGAGATAAGCTATCCAGGATCATGGTGTGAAACATTATAAATAAGTGGTACACCTTTGCACATAGCCAGACTTTCCCATTTTCCTGTACTTGTCACCCAAGAAGCAGTGATATCAACAGCTCTATTTACACCAATACTGTTCATGCCATTCATCCACACCTAACTTTTAAGTCATAGCCCACAAAACCAGTATTATTCAAATGTAGTAGCTGGCTCTGATGACCCAGTACCAAGCTACAATTTGCATGCCTGTTTGGTCAGCAGCCTCCTCACACCTATTGTGTGGTCAGACAGGAGGCAGAGGAAGACTGTACACAGAAGAAGTGCAGGATGGTGAGACCAGCATAGCTTCTCTGCAAGACAGACTGCAGCATAGGCTGGGTCAGATGTAGCCATGTTGCCTGCACAGAAAGCTTAAACTTCCTTGCCAGTGCTTCGCACATTTGCGTAAATCAACATTCAGACTACTACATTAATAAGGTTGTTTACCTACAATCTTCAGCAGAGTTCACTTTTACAGCACATCAGAAAAAAATGGTTTTAGTTAGCCAAAACGCTGTGCGTTTTGCATTTTACTCCTTCCAGCAGAGGTCACTACTCAACATCTCAAAACAGGCTGAAGTGCTACAACTAGGTTATCCCATGCAGCCTGAGAAGTTTTCAAACCAAGTAGACCTGTAGAGGTCAAGAATCAAGATGTGATATTACAGACTAGACTAAAAGCTCACATATTCTTTAAAAAAGCCATCTTCAAAAACACGTCCTACAGTGTTCTTTCCAAGTACTTGTGTATGTCAAACATAAGTCTGATTAAGAGAACCTGACACCTTAGCAGCTACAATAATTCTGAATTATGTTTGTATTTAAATGCAGTTGTTCCTTGACTCTTCCATTCTGCCTGCCCTAAGCACTACCTGCAAGCAGTGTCAGAAAAAAGACACTTTAACTCAAAATTATTCACTCACTCTCTCAAGCATTCTGGTGTTTTACTGGTCCAAACAGGAAACTTGAAGAAAGGTTTTGTCTTTTTCAACCAGAAGGTGGTCTCATAACTTTCTGCAGTAACTAAATTCCTAAGTCCTAGCACACTGAGCTGACACATCACTGCTGCAATACAGCAGGTTCCAGCACTAGATGCAACCAGAGGAATATGTGTCCTTTTCCCTCAGCAGCCTTGGGTGCTCTGTATTCTCAAGGCAAGACCTACCCGGGGCGGGGGATAAAGCCCCTACCATTAATTTTACAGGGCTGGGAGAAGATGAGTGAACAGCCAAGAAAGTGACATTATGCTTTGACAGCCGAAAAGCAGAACAAAGCCATCTCACATTTAACTATCAAAGTGCTAAACCCTTCTGGCTTGTTTCAATGCTGAAGTTAACCATGGAGGGAAAATAAAAGGGAACTGGAGTTCAAGTGTCACATCACCAGCAAGCAGAGTACGAGCTTGAAGCGAGTTCAAATTAAGCATCACATCTGAGTGAGCTAGCATAATGTGACATTGGAAAGATGTGCTTTTACAGCTCTCCTCGCTTATCAGATCAAACCCCACCATGACTGCAGGTCCTCCTTGTCTTATTTAAAATGCAGTTTAAGAGACAGACAAAGAAAACTGCACAGTTGATGGATGAGCCATGCAGAATATGAGCATGAAGTTGTTGACCAAGAACAAACATGAACAAGGTCTTCATTATTAGTTCTGAGGTCAACAAGTGCAAGCAGTATAGAAGGCACAGACAAGAAAAAGTTGAGAAATTTGCAAGCTTTTGTGCAAGAGAGAGATCTCTCCTCCTCTCCTACTTCCCTCTTCCCCAAACGAGGATTCTACAAAGTCCACAATTTTCTGCATTCTGAACCTCTCTTGCATCAGAGGAGTATGTTCTAGACACACGGATACAAAACAAGCACATTTGGAGAACTGAATTTGTAAATCTGCAGACCACCCTCCCTTCAAGCCAAGGGCACACATGCAGTTGTTGCACACAGGGGTCTGTCACATACAACATTTAGGGTCCCCAAAAGCTCTCTGGTATTTTAGGGGAAGTTCTGATCTGCATATGCTGTTTTATTAATGCCTTTTTACCTTCATTTGAAAGAGACTGCAGAAGTGCCTGTTCCATCGTTCCTGTCAATGACTGTGTTTGGAACTTATTGGCTTACCTTGGCTGTGAGAAACACGTTGAAGTGCTCATTAAAAGAAAGCACTGGGTGATCAGTTATTCTCTTCAAGAATTTGTCTAATGCTTTCCTCCTGGTCTCCACAAATTCTTCAGAAAAGCGATCAACAACACCCTTCACCACAAATTTTTCAGGAAGAGGCTGTCAGACACAAGCAAAACACACACCATTTGAAGACCAAAAATCTGCTTCTGCTATTTGGAAACACACACAGCAATCAAACTCCAATCTTAAGAGGAACTGAAGTCATTTTTACTAACAGGAACCATATACCAGATGGGATGCAAGCTGTGCTCTCAATTACCTTTTAGCTGGTCTGGCCTAATGCTAGTGATTGTACTGAGTGGCTTCAGCTGAAAGCCACACCAGTGAAGCCCAGACAGTACTCATACTAAGCACTTCCAGCATAGCCTAGGGTGTTCTCCCCTACTGCTATCTGTGTCCAAGCTCCAGCTCTAAAGGAACAAAGACAGATGAGCAGGCTTGACACACGAAATGGTCAAGGAGTCCGGGCTGGAGCCTTCCAGAAGCACTTGCACACTCTCACCTACCACAGCCAACAATCCTCAGTGTGTTCGTGTAAACGACAAAGGTCTGCCAACATATCTACTCTTTCATCTTACTCCTATTTTGACTCCACCAGTTCATCTCTGCAGTTCAGTTTAACATGTAAGCCCAACTCTGCCGCCAGACTTGTTAGTTCTGCAGCTCCTCCTGTTACACTTCGGCTCCAGACTTCACAGTATCGCTCCAAAGTAGCTCTTTAAGATTCAGCACAGTTAGTCTCATTTCTACCACTAGATCTGTTCTACTGGTAGAAATTTTTTCACTCTGGACAGCATGGATTCCAAGATTAATACCAGTTTTGAGACTGTGCTTCACATTTTATCCTTGTGAAACAGTCCGCCCAGACAGATCATCTGTTCACTCTTAGTCTAGCAACGACAGCCATTTTCACCTAATTCAGGAATCAGGATTCTCCTCTGCCAAGTCTTTGTCGCCTGAAATCTGTGACAAAAGTAATTCAAAGAAAAAAAAAAAGTGTATGCATATGCCTTTCCCACCATGTCCTAGCTGATGTGGGATGTACATGAAGACTGTACCTCCTAAAAAAAAAACCAAAACAGGCAAAAAAAAAAAAAACCAGCCAGCATGACTTAGCTGCAACACAGCTACATTTTAACCACTATATTTAGTTCTTCTAATTTGCACCTTATCTTACTATGCTTAGCATTCAGATCAGTCATTCTAGTTAAACCACTGTAAGGTGCACTCCAGTTAGACCTCTTCAGAAGAATAATGCTTAGGTGCAGTAGTCTTCAGGGAGGAAGAAACTTTCTCTTCCTTTGCTTCGTAAACTTTAGCTGGGATTCTATACTTTAGCAAGTCACTACCTCAGCACCATATGCAGCAAAAAAATGACAAGCTGGAAGACTCTAGTTCAACCAAACACATGCAAACTGGCACTGAATAATCACTAAAGTTTGAGTATTTGAGACCCACAGAAGGGTGCCACTTATATTACAGAGACTTTTGCCATTTAACCTGGTTGTAGCATGACAGTATAGTCCTTTACATTTTAGGATTTTGGAGGTCCATCCCAAGTAGTCACTACACACAGCTGGCAACTGATATCCTGCTTTAACTATGTGTTACTTATCTACCTTATAGTCTTCCAGCTTAACAGTCTACTTTGTCCTGCTGTGACACCTGAGCGGAGTTGACTGTAGCCAGAAATGGCTTCAAGTATCCAAACACCACCAAAGACAAGATCCTTGGCCATGTCAGGCTTATCTTTCTAGACTAGAGACAGATCTGAGAGCATTTTTACTGTTGTTTGAAATAAAAGATCAGAATAAATCTCAGATCTTTTTTAAAAAAGTAAAAATCAGTAACCAAAGAGATGGAAAGGAACTCATATTCAGTTTAGTTTGGGCTCCTATCACGACTCAGTGCACTGAGAAGACACATCACTTGTTACAGGAAGATTTCAGGCAGAGTCAATGATACCGAGATTAGGAATATCACCCCCTTCCAGTATTTATTTAGACAGAAGGCCTCCAGGGACTGCAGTATCTCCAGTTACAAGTACAGATACTCTTAGATGGGCTTGAAACATCCTTTTAGAATACACTTGAGTCATGGTGCACCTGAAGCTGCCTTTAGCTTCTACTCCCCATCTACTTCTAGGCAATAAACACATAAAGCATTCAGCAAATTCCCTGCCGTACCACTGCATGGAGAAGATAAACAGGAAATTCCGTAAGTGAAAACTTGTGCGTAGGCAGATAAAAGAAGGCAGCGCATCCTTATACTTCCAGATTTTCTGGAAGAGAGGCCCTTAAGAGACTGCCTTATTCTGCAGCCAGTTTCATGTCCAGGATTAGACCACTTGTGACAAATTCACTGTTGTCTGTGCCACAAATTCCAGGTTACAGCGAAGCAGCTCAATCCCCTCGCTGTGACTCACCTGCTACTAGACTATTATTTATTGCCCTGCAGCCTTCAGGCACAACTGGTAGCCTCTCAGTACACTCAAGAATCGTCAGAAGCCTAACCTCGATAGTTCCAGCTGTTCAGAGAACAGGGGGGGAGAAAAGAGGGGCTTGCCACCTAACATTAATCTCATGTCTACACCTTACCCCAGCACACACACTCTCTCTCTCTTCTCCCTACCCTTCAGTAAACATATTTGCTGCCACTTAGTGCTGTCACATGATTTTGTGAAGTATTTCTTATCTTTAAGAGACTGAGCTATTATTCCACTTAGAGGCAAGTCCCAGAGAAATTAGGGACTTAAATAGCTCTCTACCCTGGAACAGCCTAACTGAGTATTTCTCACATTGCCCAGTGCTTGCTGGGAGAGGGAGAGCAAACATCCCCCCTCATCCCAGATGGGCAAGCTAACATATGCTAGCAGTGTTGTTATTTCCCAACAATTCGCCTCAAAAATTCTTAATTTCTTTGTTCAGAAGAGCTCATGGTGGTGATCTCACAGGCTTCCTACCTCTTCACATCTTCTACATCATGAAAAAGAGACTGCTGAAGATCAGCATCAACCTCTTCATATCATGTAAGGCAGTCAGACTGCCAGCTTCAGCAAGAAGAAGGGGTGCAGTAGTCCAGCTGATCATATTAGCTTAACTTCTGCCTACTGAAGGCAGGCAATAGCTACCAAGACAGAGGCTAAGGTTTTTACGTCTGTGCTATTAAATGTTAGCACAAATAATTTTAAAACACTCTTTACAACCAACTCAAAAGGCCATATTGAAAACTGACTGAGACTAGGACTTGAAGTACCTGTGTGGCTTTTCATAAGCCTCAGACACCAGGAAATCTAGATAAAATAATTGAGCAAACAGATGAAGCATATTCCATTTACACCAAAACAAATACAGACACCATGTATACTGCCCTACAGGAGGCTGCCAAAGCTCACCTCTCAGGTGTTCCCCCCAAGAAAAGTAAGCTTCATCATCAGTCAAGAATGGCAAGGTCTTCCCACTTCACTAGAAGAGAATGAAGTACCGTATCTATATCTAAATACTAGAAGAGAATGAAGTACCGTATTTAAATCTAAGTACTAGAAGAGAATGAAGTACTGCATTTAAATCTAAAGAGACATATCACCAAAATATCACAATTGGCAGGCAGATACAGAACTGTCCTTAATAGCAGATTCTAGCTTACTACCTACGGGAATGAGATGCGTTGGCTGAGACTCTTCCAACTTGTTTCTCAACCAGTCGAAGTCCTGGTACCGTCGGCGGACAGAATACTCTGGCAAATCAAACTCTGCTCGCGTGGTCTGGAAAAGAAGAACAGGATATGCTTAGTGTGCACCGAAACATCTCACTTCAGAGCTGAGCAGCAAATGCAGTACAGCCACCACAGGCAAGGCTGAGGACCCCTTGCCTGGGTAATCCATCCCCAAAATCTTGTTTGCAGCCAGCATGAGAATAATATCTTTGGGCCTTGCAAGCAGTGGGAAAGCCAGCAATAAGAAAAATTATTACTTAGAGGTGATGAGTTCTTCAGATCTCTTCATACTTCATTACATGTTCTGCTCATATAAACTTCATGGGAGAAGTTTGTGGAAAGCAGAGTACTGTGCACCATGTTAATCTCTTGGTAGTTACAAGTTTGCAGGGAAGACTGTATGAGATCGTCGTTCCAAGGACGAGACTATTTTAGCCAACATGAATTAAAAGCAAATATATTTAATGTCTTGTTTATTCTATGAGATGCATTAACCATGGGTGAAAAAGTTTCATTACTGCCCCATATTCCAGAAGTGACAGGCTTATCACAGTCCTTCAAGGCTAAAGGATTGGAACATAAGCCATTGCTACGTTTGCCAAAGGACCGTTTTTGTTGATTTCTGAGAGGTAGAAAGAAGTTTGTTTACATTAAGTTCATGTATGCCTGATTAGAGATACGAGTACATTAAATCAAATCTTTGAAGTCTTCATTCTTTAAACACAGAGTTAAACTTGCAATTACAAGCTTGAGACAGAAGGTAAGTATGCAGATAAACTGCTGGCAAATGTTTTATCCCGTCTTCAAACAGTCCATAGCCTGAAAAGCTGACCGCATGGGGCTGCTTGCACAGCATGTATTGTAACTGCCTGAAAGCACTAATGAAATTGCGTACACTCTCTCCTAAAGAGCCTGCTATTGTGATAGCCCTGATTGGAAGGCAGATGTGAAGGTAGATGTCCTTTGTCACTTCGTCCCACTGAGAAGCACAGCTCACACAGAAGCCTTGAGAGCTATCCTGAAGTTACTAGCAGCATCAAGACTATCTTGCAAGGAAGGTGATGCTGCAGTGCCAACACACTACATGTCTACAGCTAGAGATCGAATGCACTAGCTCTCCTAGCTTTGAAGTGGCACTAGGTTGCTTTGTCACTCACAGCCACTACAACTACCTGCTAAATTCCAGTCGAGATACTGTATTTGCTTCCAGACCAAAAGCAACTGCCGCATATTTGGAAAGAACAAAGTATCAGCCTTTTAAAAAAAAAAAAAAGCCTCTTCATTTCCTCTATGGATGGCTCCAACTCTTGAATTAACTGCACATTACTCCCACCAATCCCCACTGGGAATCCTGTGCAAGTTCTATACCAGAAATCTCTTTCTAGGGGGAAGCCAGCAGCCTTAGTACACTACCAACAGAACAGTAGCTCTGATGTGCTACAAACAGCATGCTAGTGTGATATTACCTATGAGATGTTTTGGTTTCTAGAACAGGCAGGCATGAAGAGACAGAAAAAAAGAAACTGAGCTAACCTCGTCTGCTCCTGTGACCTGCTAGCTATAGTAAGAGACATACATGCATATTAGTCCATGGACTAACACAATAAATGCTCACCAATGGAGCAGTTTGTTTGTAGATGAGGGACTACCAAGACCTAGATATCCACTGTGGATTTGTGCTTTACTCAGCTACACCTCAGAGTAACACCAGCTTACTTAACATGTTAGAGTGCCACACTATAAATGAAACTTCTGAGACTTCATATAAGCCTTTTTCACTTGTTTCAAGTTAAAAGACTGAATGGCATTTTGCTAGAACAAGATAATTCACACACACGTAGACAGCCCTCATCAGTCAGTGTTGCTGACTGCTTTGTTCTGTTAATAGGGTAGCTATACCTCAGCCTTGCAGCAGACTATCTGAAATTGAAAAAAAAGTAACAATTTAGTAGTAGGGAGAGCTTTTGTGAACTGTTTGTCACTGGGCAAAGGCCTCTTAAAAGAGACCAGACAGTAAGTGAACAAGAATAATCACTACACTGTCACTGTAGCACAAGGATGATGGTAAAGTCTCCCATCTGTTAGTGCTGAAAATCTTATTAACCTGTATTCTGCTAACAGTTAAGGAAAACTGTATAGGTACTATTTAGTCTACAAGTATGAAAACTGGGTAAAGTCCCAGTGCACAAACTTTACAATAATTATTGCTATGTCTAGCAAACTGCTCCTGCTGCCTTTACATCACAAACAGATTTGCAAAGTTTTCCATATATCAGGTTTTGTTCCTCAGAGGGAGGCAGATGAAAACACATCATAGTCATCAGCATTTCAGTGTTTGCTGTATGGGATTGCAAGTCTAGAGAGCAAATAAGCGTTTCAAAGACTTATTTGGAGAGAACATAAGGGCCCTTCAAGTTTTTAACAACACCTCACTAATGCTGAAAGAATTTGGACCTCAGATCAAACCATTCATTAGCTTAGCACAAGTTATTTTTTCCAGACTGCACGCAAAAGGGAAGAGGGTCTTGCCACTGTCCAAAGACAGCAAGTGAAACATCTGTAGTTTTGACACAGTTCAATTCCTCCTGCTTTCTTAGTAGGAACCATAAATCTCATCTTGCAAGGGCACGTGTCTCTCCCAAAGGAATCTGAGAAACTTATATGGCAGATCTCAACCTCCCAAAAATAACGGGCAAGACATTTCCAGTGATTTACTGAAGACTCCAGCACAGTTCCACTAAATCAGCATTGCAGTATTCTGGGCTCGGTTTTACTTGCTGGAAAGTGGGCAGGGTAACAGATACTTTTTACCTCTGTTGTTGGAACAGTTTTAACTTGAGGCAATATTAAGGCAATCACCAAGTTTTGGTCTTGGGCAAGATTCTTGTCTTTCTTGAAAGGAGCTAGCAGACAAACCTAAAGCTAGCCTGTGATGACTGTATTAAAGTATTTTTGTATCATAGTTCTAGTCTCTTCCTCACTACACCTGATGGTGGATTCCCTTCCATCCCACTATTGAAGTTTAGCCCTCTTTGAAAAAGAGATCATACCACTTATACCTGCTCCTCTCTAGGAACCTATCTGTTTCACGCGCTCAGGTAATGGACTGAAGCAGAAGGAGAAGGACAGGGAAAAGAAAACAAGACCTCCAGTTCAGCATTGACATGTTTGAAAGCCTCCCCCTTCAAGCCTGCAGATAAACTACATGACTCTGAGCAATGGCACACAACTGCTCAGACCTCTATGGGAAAAGGCACAGAAGGCAGCCTGTCATCCTAGAAAGTACCACAAAAGCGAAGTTTGAAGTATGCTCACTTATGATTCCCTTGGGAAAGATGACAATATAATATAAGGCTAAGCTTTATTCTCCCTCTCCCTCTTCAGACAGATCTGCTTGATAAAATCCATCTAGAGTGCACATCAGACCATTCAAAGAGTATGAAGGTATATCATCAAGAACACCCAAGACACTTCAATCATCACAGACAAGATCAAGTTCCAGCACAAGTTTCACCAGCCTCCTTGTGCAAGAAAACTGCTCTCAGCAAGAAGAAAACAAGAGTATGAAGCAGTTAAGAGACCCAGGTCTTAATCACTATCCCCATTATTTTGGGGGTTCCTGTTACATTCTTTAAATGTGTTCTTCCAGAAGACAGGCTGGGAAATGCTACCTGGCTTTTACTAGCAAGCTGTGAAAGCAGAAGCACAAGCAGGACCAAGTAAACTAACCTTTCTTCTCAGCTTCCCTGCAAGCCATTGTTTTGGGCCAAATGCTTTGGACCCCTTCTCAGCCACCACCACCACCTGCTGACAAAGGTATCAGCAGACGGGAAGTCTGGGGCATACTGCAAGACTTCTCATTTTTTGTTCTTCAGATGAAGGACCTTCCTGAAGAAATTTTTAAAAACCCCACATAACACAAAACCAAGACTGTAGTCAGGTCACACTCTTCCCTACAGTGGTGTGCAGTCACAGCCACCAATGCACATCACAGCACCAACAATTAGATTCCCGTCTTCCACCTAGTGATGCTGCTTTTCACAGCAAGGAAGCCTTCAGCATAACTCATTCTAGGACCTCTGTTTACCTGAACCTTTGAGGTGCCAGTATCAACACTCATCCTCATCACTGTCTAGGAATTATTCCTGTGCAGCTTTTTTGCCATGTTTAATTACTGTTTTCAGCTACAATGGCTGATTGGGCAATTAGCTTCGCATCAAAGAGGCCTTGGTTTGTATGGCAAGAATGAGTCAGACCATTAGTACTGTTAGTCTTCCAAACAGCTGTTTTTAAAACAATGGTAGATAGTAACAGAGGTTAGCCAGAAGTTTACAAGAATAAGAAACCCAAAGAAGTGAGTGAGGCTTTTGTGGCGATTGATAAGAATAAACCATGCACTTTTTCACAAGAGTATTGTAATGCTATGATGTAGCAGATTTATGTGCTACAGTGAGATCCCAAATTAATTATTAACAGACAGGTAGGCAGATATGCCAAATCAGAAGTACAGGATGAGGTTTTTTTTATTTAAAAAAAAAGACACTGTTGTGTAATACATCTCATCTAAACACAGCAAATGCCTTACCCACGTTCCAGAGTTCTGCTTTAAGAGGGAAGGGAACCCTTGTATGAACACAGGTTTCCAAACAGGGTAACATTATTAGGGTGCTACTGCATAGAGATATTTTATCTTGGCAGAATAATTGGGTCTTAGTTTAAGGGAGAAACAGCTTTAGCCAACTTTAGCCATTAGCCTGTGGAAAGTTGCATCTCATTTTGTGCTTCCTTCTCCTTCCGATCATGTAATACCTGAAGGCTATGTTGCTCCAAGTACACAAGTTTCCTACAATACTTCTTAGCATTTTCTAGTAGTTAAGATACAGCATTTCTTGCAAGATTAAGACACTTAGAGCAACTAAGAATGACAGGCCAACGTTAAACATGCATTAAGAGGTAGCTACTGCTTTCCAGAAACCACATTTTCTCCTATGCAGCCTTAAAGAGGAACTTTGGAGTAGACATTTTGAAAAAAAAGTTATCTGTGGCCTGTAAAGGCATCCTTATATCAAAGAAAAATACATTCTCCAGTATATAGTGCAATGTAACCAGGCCAGAGGAATGTTAGTCTTTTGGACAACTATATTCCTAGTGAAGTTAGTGAACATTTTTTGCCTTAGGTAACTACAAGAGCCCAAAACAGATGTCAGCATCACCTAGGAGATGATGCTAATGAGACTGAGCTAGTTAACAGAAATCAGCTTTCCAGTTGTGAGTGCTGCAGACTTGTCAGACCCTTTTTCCTATTAGTGTAATTAATAGGAAATAGTGCATTAATGATTGAACTACAACACATGCTGAAAAAAATCTCTAGCATATTTCTTTTGGTAGTAGCGTTCTTAGGCTACTTAGTTTTAGCAGCAGCTACACAGCCTTCTGTACCAACAACTGCATGGAAGCTAGCTTACAGTTGAGGGTCAAGATGATGATTTAGCTTAAGTGGCTGATAGAGAAAGCATGGTAAACACTTGAAGCAACAAGCTTAAAGCATTTCAGAAAAGGATAGACACAAAATGTGATATGATTAACAGTGAATCAACAAGGCACATTCCCCTTCAGGGCAGGTAACTCAAACCAAATGCATGTCAGATTACTTTACATGAACAAACTTTCAAGTTAGTGAAAGAAACTGGCCTTGCAAGTTTACAAACAGTTCTATTTAAGTCAGAGACAAAAATCTAAGCTGACACATGAAAAGTTTTGCATAGTTTCACATACTGCAGTAGTAACAGTTCTGCTAAAAGAAGTCACACCTTCAACACATTCACAAGGCACTGAAAGACACCAAGTTCTTGCCCTTAAGGAAACACAGTGCAAGGCACAGACATCCAGAACACACCCTAAAAAGATAAACCTCCCCAAAGAAAAAAGTACTAGGAAAAGAGAATGTTTGTTTGTACCTTTGTTGTAACCCTGTATGTGATATATGTCTCCATTGTGCACACGTGTTTTTTGGGATCATCAACAGTCACAAAGAGGTCTCTTGTTTCCCCATCCAAGTCATCATCCAGCTGCAGTCTGTTGAGGAGAGATGAGGAAGAGGCTGGGCTAGAAGTGTCCACAGGTGTGCCATTGGGTAAACTTAGATCCTGCATTGGAGAGGAAAAAACAGCAAGGTTTTAGTAAGTGAACAGACTGTAAAACACAGTGTTCAAAAATGCCACTGACAAGCTTCACTGATCTATTACAAGGGCTATTTATTTCAGCAGCTCCAAGGATCACCGTTTTCCAGAACACCTGGGCAATCCCCTAAGGTCTGGGCTTTGAGCATTAGGTTGTCCTGCTGTTCCACAAGTCAACAAGAAAGCACATTACCATCCTACCTCCCCTTAGTGTGGCGCAACCTGGTTTCTATTCATGAGGAAGAAGCAGCATTCTGAGACTGAATCAGCATAGATTCTGAAAACAAAACAGCTAGGCAAATCAAGAGCCCTACTTGAAAGAAAAGCTTCAGGCAAAGTAGGAGCAGTTTAGTTGACTGGAATGCAGGCAGCTTTCACCTCTGGAGACTCCTACAGTAGAGGAAGGAGGGCAAGCTTGCATCAGAGGCTTCCCACCAAGCCCATTAACTTCCACACGTGTACAGCAAAGACTGAATTGCCATCATTGTATTACAGATCACACACTCCAGTACCAGTGTCTATGCACATCTCCCTTTTGAAGTCCAAAGGCCAATGAAAACACAGTTTTGCTTGGAGAGCTCTCTGTTCCCATCCTCCCCACTCCAAGAGCATAATCCAGTGCCTTGGGAAGACAGAGGCTGAAGAAACCAGCAAGTGGCTATTTTAGGAAGAGACACACAAAGGTTTGAGAAGTCTGTAATCCCTTGAAACCAACTCAGCAGCAGGGGAAAAAAAACCCACAACTTTATAACCAACTTGGTGCATTCCCACACCTTCCAGTCTCACACTTTGATACAGACCAACTATTCCATACAGCTAGTGGTTATTCCACTTTGCACAACTTCACACGTTCTCTGCTCTGGTTTTGTAGCACAGGAAGCTGACAGCACATGACAAGATTTGTAATACGTAGGAACATCTGACAACAGTATTAGAAAGTCCCAAAGATCCACTGCTCTTCTTTTCAAAGAAGACATGAGGTTTGTTGGTTGTTTGTTTTAACTGGTAGCACTAGAACAGATTTATCCACAGAATGCTTCCCTTGTAAGGACAAAGGTTCCTCTGGTTGCTAGACAGAGAAACATCACTACAGCTAAGCAGCACATTAACTAGAAGTGTTTTAGTTCTAGAATTACCACTTAGCCCCAGCTTCATGCAGCCTTTAAGTGGCTAAATGAAACATGTAATCTTAGCAAAGCAATCCTGTTCAGGTAAGATCCTCTTTGTCCAGCAGTATTGCTTCAGCAATTGCAGTTTATGTTCCAGCTGGACAAGGGTAGTCCCTGTCTTCAAAAGAAGTCCTCCTTTGTTCAAGGGTTCAGAATTGCAAGCGAGAGCTTAAAGTTAAAGCTATTTACAAAGGTCTGCCTTGGACAATGGCTAAGAACAGGGTTAAGTTCCTACCAGTCTTTGTTACAAACCCATCATGGGATTTTACAGACAGCCCTCTGCCTATTGCAGTTCTGCACAACTGTGGAAGTATAGCTCTTTACCTTGAGGACTGCCTTTTGAAGTAGGGAGAATAATGCTTTAGCCTAGACATTGTGGGAAAGGGGTGATCTAATCTATTGTCTGCTAATGGAGAGGTTAGATGCATTCTCCTAGCTAATGTCAGCAGTTGAGAGACTTCAGATCTAACTGGCAAGTGAGCAAGAAACCGGAAGGTAGGCATTCAAATGCTCTCTTAAGAGGGCAAAAGAGCAGAATGAGCATGGCACAGCTTGCTAGCTCATGCATGAGGCAGACAGCTTGAACTACACCAGTATCTATCTGGCTCAGACTCAACATAAACAGGAACATGTAGGACAGGAAGAAGCAACGCTACAATAACTCAGCGGATAAGGAGTTCTGCTGGAGTTACACAAGCACAATAAGCAGAAGACAGGATAAGATTAGCAATAGGAGATGGCTTCAGAAAATCTGCAGTTCAGCTAAACAGGAGAATTTGGCTGAGCAAAGAGCAAAGCAAACCCGGGGATACCACAGTAGCTGTAGACAAATCTGTTCCTGTTTCCAAAAGGAAAAGGGCTCTTCGTGGCCCACATGCAATAAGGATAAGACAAGTTGTGCCAGAACTGCAGCCAAATTCTAAGCTTCCAGTATGGAAATTAATTAACTTGTGGAAACAGCTTAAGAGCCTGGTTGCACAGAATGTCAAAAGCTGGTTAACAAAACCCTTCCAAAAGAGAGCTTAAAGAATATGATGGAATCTGCTTGAAATACGAAAACTCTGCATGAAGATATCAGAACAACTGGAGGAAAGACAAAAGATGGAGCTTGGGCCACTTGCATGAAGTCAGTGACTTTCCTCACTAATTCTGTTGGGAGATAACGGTATCATACTAGTATGTTTTGCACTTTTTAAACAGGGCAGAGGTCTGTGAAGGTTGGAATCCACTTCAATCCACCAAGGGTGGGTATCTCAGGTCTTAAAATAAAAGGCTGTGACAGTTTTACCTGATCTCAGCTTTGGATGAAACGCCCCAGATCTACATCAGGTAAAGCTTCTAGACCAAGTCTGGTTAGGAGCAGGAGGGCTGCTAGCCGTGGCAGGGGGAAAGGACAGAAGATGCGTACACTGAAAGCCCTTCCATGCTCTACTGCCACATCTGTGATGGCAGAACCCTCCCAGGCAGTCACAGCTGGCATCGCACCCTGCTCCTTAGCTAGTTTTCACTACTTGAAGGACAAGGTAGAAGCTAACTATTTGTCCCTCTTAATGGGACATTAGCTACTGCACGTGGAACAATGCGGATGAATGCTGAACCTTCGTTCAACAGCAGACAGGATCAGTTTGCAGATGTTTTACGCTATTGCTAGAAAGAGGAAGGCTTTGAAGCGTCACAGCAGATGGCCTCACAATCTAAATTGTTTCAGACTGTAATCTTTTCAGCAGAGCACCTCCTTGTCATGTTAACTGGCACTTTCTTCCATGGGACTATGGGTATTTTTTTGCTGTTGCAGAAGCAAGACCGCATCATCTGTTCTATTCTGCTTTCATCACAGACAGAGAGGAGTATGCCCTGCAGAGCCTAGCAGGAAAGGAGATCTGCAGCCACCTGCATTTCTACCTGCTGGTGCAGTTTTCATACCCAAAACCATTTGAAATACTGACTAGCATTAACTGGTTTATATAATAAAAAGTTTTAACTTCAGTGCCGGGGGATCATGCATCAGTACTCAGCACTGGTGAGGCCGCACCTTGAATCCTGTGTTCAGTTTTGGGCCCCTCACCACAAGAAGGACATTGAGGTGCTGGAGCAGGTCCAGAGAAGGGCAACGAAGCTGGTGAAGGGTCTGGAGCACAGGTCTTATGAGGAGCAGCTGAGGGAGCTGGGGTTGTTTAGTCTAGAGAAGACACTGAGAGGAGACCTTATCACTCTCTACAACTACCTGAAAGGAGGTTGTAGTGAGGTGGGTGCTGGCCTCTTCTCTAAAGTAACAAGTGATAGGACAAGAGCAAACGGCCTCAAGTTGTGCCAGGGGAGGTTTAGGCTAGAAAAAATATTAGAAAAAATTTCTTCATTGAAAGAGTGATCAGGCATTGGAACAGGCTGGCCCGGGAAGGGGGGGGGGGTGCATCCCTGGAGGTGTTCAAGAAACGTGTAGATGTGGTGCTTAGGGACATGGTTTAGTAAGTTAGGTGGTGTGGGCTGACAGTTGGACTTCACGATCCTTGAGGTCTTGTCCAGCCTTAATGACTCTACGATTCTAAGTAGCTGCTCATCCTCCCTTTTTTAAGCACTTATCTGCATTATCAGAAATCAGCACAGCCCAAGTCCCAGCAGGTACCTACTGCTCACAAAGCTCTTCACAGAAAAAAAAAAAAAAGCCATATTCACAGTACGGTCAGCCTGACGTGAACCTAAGCAGTCCCACCACGGTGAGGAGAGGAGGCTATCTTCTAAGGTAGTATCCATGAAGACTTGATCAGGTTTCAAAGTTTTTTCTAAACTAAAGAGCAATGATCTTTAGCCTCTGTCCCTGACCTTCTCAGGCCAGTCTCACAGCTTTGTCACCTGCTGAAGCAAGTCAGAAGGTCTGGATCACAACCTATAGCAGAAACAGTATGACATTCAGCCTTTCAGGTTCATGATCTCCTGGTTAAGTACTCAGCTTTTGTGCATCACTGTACAACCACCTGCAGGCAGACTCTTCACACGTTCCTATGGAGTTTGTACAATTCGTCAGGACACCCAAATTTATGGGCACACAAGATCAGATCACTCTAGCAGTGCACATTTGGTATTCTGTGATCCTTTTTTTGAATGAACTGCCTGTGTTGGAAATGCACGAGCCCTGCCAACTATGCCAGCTGCTATCTGGTAAGGAAGCAGCTTCACATTCTTTTTCTGTATTACACAGTCCAAACACCTTGACTAGTTAGCCTGCCCAGAAACAGATTAAATCTATCAAGAAGTTCACTTCATCCAAGCTTAAAATTCATCTGAATTTTAAAAACTTGAAGTCTGCATGTAAGATGCAAAATGAGTTGGGAAGTTTCCAGCTGATGTCCAAGAATTTTCCAAGATTCTGGATTTACAGAGCAGCTTGGATCCACACAAAGTAAAACCTCAGGAGCTTGGTATTCAGTCTTCTGGATGGCAGCCTCCCGCACTGTAGTAGTACACACCAGAGAAGGCATCCAGGATTCAACCCTTGAAAGCTAAAAATGGTCTAAAATTCTGTAGGTATTGGCTGTACCTTTCTCCTTCTGTTTCATGGAGCCCCCTTGCTTTTTCTGCTATTCACGTCCCGGAGAGACAACCACAGACACCATCATGTCAAGGGGACAATGATTCCACACAACGACTGCAGGCGGTTTCTGGAACAGTCTTACATGACAAGCCACAGCAAAATTGCTGCTGGTGACTGGAAACTGAAGTGGTTTAGAAGTACGTATTCCCAAGAACCCTATGAAAGCCTGCATTAACTTGGCTTTCAGACCTGTTCACAGCACCATTTGT